CGGCAGCAGTAGTGGCGCGCGGGGCGGGGCTGCGGCGAACACTTCCGGGTCAGGGGCGCCGCAGTGCGCCTGCGCGGAGGGGGCATTCCGCGCTGTGCTTCCGGGTGTCGGCCCCGCCCCCGACTGCGCCCGCCGGCCCGACTGCGCTTGCGCGCGCAGCCTCGCTCCTGCGTTCAACACCTGTCCTGTCCCGCCCGGGCGGGAACACCACCTGGACCCGCCTGCAGATGCGCGGACCCCATCTCAAAGCAGGGTCTTCACGACCCTCAGAGCCGGCGCTGGCCCGGGTTCTGCGCGGTGAAGGGCCCCGCGCGACATCCCGTACCCCCGGGCTCAGCGGGCGGGCCGCCGCACTGCCCAGCGCCCGCGGCTGAAGCCCGCCCCCTCGGGCCCCAGGGCCGCCCCGTCGCAGGGCCAGAGTGGAGACGCCGGCTGTCGCGGGGCAGGGGTTCCCCTGGGCGGTGTGTACCCCAGCGTAAACGGTGCATACCCTCTGAACCCACAAACCCGCCCTGGGAAGTCCCCCCGGCAGAGACAGCGGCCCGAGCCCCACGGGCCTGAGCTTGCCCAAACATGGCAGAGCAGGACCGCTACCAGAGACCCCTCACTGCCCCAGCCCTGCCCACTGCCCCTCACCCATTCCCAGCGCTGTTTTGCCGGAGAAACTCCTATGCCAGGCCCACTCCCGAGGCCAAGGGGGAAAATAGGAAAACCCACATTGTGGGGCCAACACCTGGAGTCCCTCAGCCAACAGGGGTCTCACCGGCCCCAGATGAGACTCAGGGCACCCTGCCCATCAGGGCTCTCCCACAGGGACAGGGATGCTGCCAGGCCCCTTGCTCAGTCATCCCCTCCCCATCAGACCCATCTTGGCAGTGGGTGGCTTCCTGGACACAAGTCCTAGCAAGGTCATTCTGCCGTGGGCCCTTGAGAACAGGCATCCACTTTCACATGCCTACCGCCCTCCCTGGACACTGCTTTGTGCTGCTCTGAGGTGAGTGGAGTTCCTGCTTTGGGGACCAGGATTGTGCCCCTCCTGCACCTCCCCCATAGCACAGTGCCCCCAAGGCACAAGTGCCATTCCTCTCCTGCCGGCCACGGTGGCACGGCATCATGTGAGTCACAGCCAAGGCCACAACTGTGGGAGGATGTAACATCTGGACCCAGCTGCTGCCTGGTCGCCGGGACACCAGGTGTTTGTGGGCAGAACTGTGCTGTGGCGCCCACTGCGACCAGGCAGCAGGAGTGAGGTCATCTCCGTCTGTCAGGGAGGCCACATCTCCATGCCCCAGAGATGTGTGCTGTCCAGATGTCTTGTTGATGTTGGCAGTTACACCACAGACCCCCCAGGGCTCTGCATCTGTGGGGGGCCTGGAGTCCAGGGAGACCAAGGCAGCTGGAGAAAGCAGGACAGACAGGAAAAAGGGGAGACCCTGGGATCTGCAGAGGAGCTACCGTGACTCTCCACGGGGTTGGATTATAGTGGTTCCCCAGGACTGGGAAGGAGCCACCCTAAAGGGCTACAGGGAAAAGGATGGTGCTTGCACAGGACTGGAATGTGCCTGTTCCCTCAACCCCTCGCCCAGACGAGAACAAGCTAACTGAGGCAGTCTCGGGCAGCTGGCCCTGGGGTGGGTCTCTTCTCTCAGCAGGGAGGCGTGATGATCCAGAAAGGAGATGCTACCTGGGCTCCACTTAGCAAATTGCAAAGACAGGCCCTGAAAGGCTCAAACTACACCCCAGGAACAACAAAAAGAGTCAAGGGTATGGCTATTGAAAGAAGACCTAAAGTGCCTGAGGGACAGAATGGAACATCCGAGGGGTCCCAAGGCTGGCACTTGCTGAACAAGCAGAAGGGCACATTTTCACCCACGGAGGGACTGGTGGGCTCGGACGGCCAGCCGCGTGCCTAGCAGCTGAGTGGTTTAGGTGCCACCCACCGAACCCCTCAAAGAATATTTGTAGAGCCAACAGAAAGACTCCCCGTTGCCACTGAATTGATTCCAACGCAAAGCCTCCCTATGCAGGGTTTCCAAAGCTGTACGGATATCTTTATGGGGCCGGTGACCTCGTCTTCCTCCAGCTGGTGGGTTTTAGGTGCTGACCTTAGGAGGGGATACCCCCCCCCCGAAAAATGTTTTTTTTTCAAAGCTATGTATTTAAATTGTTCAGCAAAACAACCTTATTGCCTTCAAAGTACTCTCCATGACACTTCATGCATATGTCAAGTCTGTGATTCCACTCTTGGAAACATCTTTCACATTCATCTGGATGGCTGACAGCACCTCCCTCGTTTTCTTCTTCACCTGGTCTATGTCCTCAAATGGCTCTCCTTTCACGTCCCTCTTCATTTGCGGAAACAAAAATAAGCTGCAGGGAGCGAGGCCAGGTGAGTAAAGCAAGTGGGGCAAGAGAGGCATGCCGGCGCACGGAGATGGCTGGTGAGCAGGTGCGTTGGTGTGGTGGCAGAACCAGTCTCCCGCCTGCCACAAATCACGCCTTTTTTTTTTTTAATTGGGAGCCCTACAACTCTTATTACAATCCATCCATCCATTCTGCCAAGCACATTTGTACATTTGCTGCCATCATCATTCTCAAACCATGTGCTTTCTATTGGAGCCCTTGGTATCAGCTCCTCATTTTACCCCCTCAAATCACACCTTTTTGTCGCACACGTAAGCAATCTTTTCAGAGCTTCTAGGACGCTTGATTGACGATCTGACCTGGTGGGATGAACTCCAAATGCACTGTAAGTCGGCATTTTTGTCCATTCGGGAAGTTGATGGAGGTCCAGAACGAGGTTTATCATCAATCAACATTTCACCATTTTTTTTCGGGGGGCAGGAGCAGAGCCAAAACCGGGATGAATTCACCTTTTTTGAAATGAGAAAACCACTCGCACACTTGAGTTTTTCCCACAGCGCTGTCATTGCCAGCGGTGTTCAACGTCATTTTTCCCCAGCAGGAAACACAGTCTCTCAGGCACATGCTGTTTTCTTAAATCGGCCATCACAAAAAATGAGGTTCTCGTGAAACTGCTTTTACGAAAAAATTCGCTGTGACCAGAGAGAACCTTCCCAGGTGACACCACTGGGTGCACTCTGCAGGTTGCTAGATGCTCGTCTGGGGGTGAGTCCCACAAACGCTCCGCCCAGCGGAGCTTTTCTCCGTTTCGGTGGGGTTACCCCTCGTACATGTTAGTTTAATAAACTTTTTTTAACCTGTGACGACCATCTCCGTCGATGCCAGGAAAGTGTTTGACAAAATCCAACACCCAGGGGCCACCTGGTTTGCAGGTGGCTATGGGTGACAGTGGAAGCCCAAATCCATGTGCGGTCTCCACGAGGGTGCACCCTCCTGCGAGGGTGTGGACAGCCCTGCGGGCAGCACTGAGAAGTAGATTATAGCACAGACAGGTCAAGCTGTCGTATCATCTGTCATTTATCTCCCTTTGACCCACTGAAAACTTTCCGTAAAAAAGCACTGCAGGGGAGCCACACGTGAACTGAGCCCCGTGGGTCTCCTCTGTCCGTGGGCCAGGGATGTGCCTCCATGGCTGTCATGCAGGGTCCGTGGGAAGTGGATGGTTGCAGACGCGGTCAGGCTAAAATCGAGCATATCATTTGGTCCCTCATGAGCTATTTGTTCTGGGTTTATATTTTCTGCTTTCTTTTCCACTGAGGTTTCCTGATGTGCTTTGTTATGGTTGTTAGCTTAGTCTTGGTGGGTTTTGGATGCTTTTGCGTGTGTGCAATCCAGAGACAGTCACTGAACCCACGCCCCTTTGGGGGCGTGGCAGGGGAGGTTGTCTAGCCTGCTTTTAAACCGTGTGGTGAGATAACGTTGCTGATAGCAGATGGATCTTGGCCAAATGCGGAGCATATCAGAAAGATGTTACTTGTATTTCATTCACGATGCA